GAAGGCTGACCACCAAAGAATTTATGCTTTTGAATTGTGCTGCTGGAGGAGACTCTTGAGAGTCCCCTGGACTTCATGGAGAATAAACCCATTCATTTTGGAAGAAATCAGCCCTGAGTGCTCACTGGAAGGACAGATCCTGAAGCTGAGGCTCCAGTACTTTGGCGATCTCATGAGAAGAGAAGACTCCCTGGGAAAGACTCTGATGTTGGGAAATTGTGAAGGCAAGAGGAGAAGGGGACAACAGAGGTCGAGATGGTTGGACAGTGTCATTGAAGCTACCAACATGAATTTGACCAAACTCTGGGAGGTGGTGGAAGATAGGAGGGCATGGCATGCTTTGGTCCATGGAGTCATGAAGAGTCAGACATTACTTAATGACTAAATAACAACAACAAAAAGGAAACAAAAGTAAGCAGCAGTTAATTGGTCCTTGAGGACTATATGCACTGGTTACAATTTCTTGTATCTCAGCAAAGCAGTTAGTTTCTCATGCGCAGACCAGCTTATCTCTAATGAATGTTGAGTCTTCCTTACAAAGTGCTACTTCTTCTTTGTGACATTTGCTCTCTTCTTACAGTCTCCCCTCATTCTTTTCTTAGTCATATAATAAAGCCACACCTCTGTAATTATAGAAGTAAACAGCTACACCACCAAAAGAATGATGCTATTCCTCAACTTACAATTATACTATAACTTAGTTATACTCTTGTTACTCAAAAACAATTACAAACTCTGCTTAGGCTCTCTTCTTCATTTGTCTTTGGAATCAGCAATACTCAGAGGGAGAAAGCATGAGGTACTAACTGGGCGCTACTGATGTATCAAGATACTCCTCTTCTCCTTAATCTTCTCACTCCTTGTTCAGTTGAGGAACATACAGGGCTTGTTTACAGAAAAGGGCAAAGCACTGCCCCCTTGGAAGCCAAATGGGTTAGCAGCCAAATCGTACCTCAGTACTGATTGAGTCACCTACCACACCCAATGGCAGCAGTATATCTTAAGGGGTGCAGGAGCATGGGCCATGTTGTGTAGACTAAAAGAGGGAATGGCTTGGGGGTTCAGGAGAAATGGCTGCAGCAATGACAATGTCCTTGGTGCATGCGCTCGTAATCTCAAGTTTAGACCACTGTAATGTGCTCTACTTGGGGCTTCCTTTGAGGCTGCTGCGGAAACTACAGGTGGTGCAGAATGCGGCGGCCAGATCACTTAGTGGAGTGAGAAAATTCCAACATATTTCACCCACTCTGGCCGCATTGCATTGGCTGCCCATCCGATTCCGCATTGACTTCAAAGTGTTGATGCTTACTTATAAAGCCCTAAACGGTTTAGGGCCTCGATATCTGGCGGAACACCTACTTCCACCAAGTTCTACCCGTGTCACTCGCGCGAGTCAGGAGGTGAGGCTTGAGGAGCCTAACGCCGAGGGAGGCCTGGAAGGAAAAGACAAGAAATTGGGCCTTCTCGGCGGTGGTTCCTCGCCTCTGGAACAATCTACCTCCTGGGATTCGCGGGGCTCCCTCACTGGGTATTTTTAAGAATCAATTAAAAACATGGATGTTTCAGCAGGCCTTTCCTCCAGAGAATTCCTGATGTCTCTCTTCTTTTCCTCTCCACTTGGTTTCTATCTTTGTAAAGTTTTTATTATTGATGTTATCTTATATATGTATATTTTTATTATTTGATGATTGTTAGCCGCCTAGAGTGGTCCTGAGTTGGCTAGATAGGCGGGATATAAATAAAATGAATAAAATAAATAAATAATGTGTAACAGTGGTCTAATACTGACTGATGTTATGGCCCATCCTGATAGTATAAGTAAGGTGGCAGCAAAAGGGCCAAGATGTTCAGTGAACTGGTGGTACTTGGCATGAATCTTGGACACATTTGGAAACAAAATTAACTGAGGTGGAAAAGCTGTAGATCAGGTAGCCAGAATAATTAACCAAGTCCTGCCCTGTCAGCACCACTTGATTCCACTTGCCAGCTGCACTTTCTCCAAGTGTTGTTGTAAGTGTGATGAGCAAAGCAGGACAAAGAAACATACGAAAACAAATAGCAAAGGAAATCCATGCTCACTTTTGAGCCTACCCAGCTTGAGACACACTCGTTTGGTAGTTTTCAGAAAGGCAGCTGTGTCAATTTTCAGTATTTATAACAAAAAAGAGAGAAGTATTTTGGAACCTTGAATATTGATTTCAATATGAATTTTCATGGAATACAATCCACTACCTGAGCCACACAAGGCACAATATTTAGACCAGAGGTTTATACACATAGAGTAGATGGTGTTAGTCTCTGGAGCTGGAGCCATCACCATCAACTTAGAACTGCAGAGTTGGAAGGGACTCTATAGATCAAGGAATGGAAGACAGAGGTTGAGTTACACCATTGACACTGGTCGTTGTTGTTTAGTTGTGTCTGACTCTTCGTGACCCCATGGACCAAAGCACACCAGGCCCTCCTGTCTTCCACTGCCTCCCAGAGTTGTGTCAAATTCATGTTCGTTGCTTCGATGAAACTGATCAACCATCTCATCCTCTGTCGTCCCCTTCTCCTCTTGCCCTCACACTTTCCCAACATCAGAGTCTTTTCCAGGAAGTCTTCTCTTCTCATGAGATGGCCAAAGTACTAAAGCCTCAGCTTCAGGATCTGTCCTTCCAGTGAGCACTCAGGGTTGATTTCCTTTAGAATTGATAGGTTTGTTCTCCTTGCAGACCAGGGGACTCTCAAGAGTCTCCTCCAGCACCACAATTCAAAGGCATCAATTCTTGGGCCGTCAGCTTTCTTTATGGTCCAGCTCTCACTTCCAAACCATAGCTTTGAATTAACACTGGTAATGAATGTTGAATGTGAAAATGGCACTATTAACCCACGTAACAGTAACTCAAAGTAGTGATGATCTCATACACCTTGTAGTAAAAGGAAGCGCAACTGGCTTGACTGTCATTGATAATCAACGCTAGGCAGCCTTTGACATACAGCTGAAAATAACTTTCTCTGCAGGAGGTTCTGCTCAAGCTAGAATTATGCCGGGGATATTTATGCATTACAGCACACCGTAAGATACCGCAAATTTTTTTTAATATTTCTTAGCACTTTGTTATCACAGTCTTACCACCGAGGAGGCACAATCTTTAAATGCGCATGTGCATTCCATCCCCCACCCCCACCCCGTCCATCCACCTGTAAGACTTCCGTATCTTTTGCTATTTCCAGATTTCAACTCCGCAAAAAGGAAGAGTTCGCACGCATGCGCCTTTGAATGGCGGCTTATTTCCCATTCTAAACATGGCGGCTGGGGCTTGCGGGAGGAAAGCAAACACGCATGCGCAGAGCAGTCGGTGGCCCGGGAAGGCCAAGTTTTTGGTTCCTCGTCGCTCCTCGGCGGCAGCCAATGGGAAGAGGGTTGGCATGGCAACAAGGCATCGGGGAAGCAGGTCCCTCCCCTGAGCTATTTGGCGGGAGAGTGGTCGGGAAGAGGGGGAGCGAGGTGAGATTGAGGAGTGTTTGGTGCACCGCCGGGATAGAAGCTGGAGGGGCTGGAGGGGGGCAGGAACGAGGGGTTTGGTGGCGGAGAATGGGACGTGCGAGGGGTTGATGGTGGAGTGAGTGGGCTCACTTCTTGGAGGAGAAGTTGAGGATTTGGGGAATCTGGGAGGTCCGGCATTTGGAGGACCCATAGAAAGCAAAGGGGAGTAAGGTGGCTGAGAGGTGGGGCGTGGGCTGTTCCTGGAGAGAGGCCAGTAGAAGCTTTGTGGGGGTGTGGGGTGGACGTGCAAGAGGAGGAGGGCATGGCGTAGGAATATTGAGGGTCAGTTATGCGGGGGGAGGTACCTGGGCGAGGAAGTGGTGCTTAAACAATTATGTGTCTGCACTTGCGATACAGGAGCAAGATTAATAATAATTGTGTGTTGTCAAGTCAGTTCTGACTTAGACCCAGCCTTTCCAGGATTTTCTGTGTAGAGAGTACTCAGAAACCATTTACCATTCCCTTGAATGGTAAGCTTGTCCAAGGCTAGACAGGCTGGTTCTACTTGTGAGAGGCACAGTGGGGAATCAAACCCCTAAGCTTTGTCCCTGCAGCCAGACCTTTAACTTACTGAGCTATCCAGCTAGCAATTTGCAGGATTAGGTGTACACTATTCTGAAGTACGCTTTGCGGGGGGGGGGCTTGCTTTGGAGGTGCTATTCTGATGTCAGTATAAAATTGACCAGTTTCTTTTCTGGATCAAACCAGATAATTATTTCTTAGGTGATATGAAATCACTTCTGACATAAGTTAATCTTGAAAGAGGTGTTTTTTAGATACATTAAATATTTTAGAGGTGGTTTACTTTTGCTGCTCACCCTACCCCAAGGCCAAGTGGGGTTTTTTCATCTTATTTTGACACTCTGTCCACTACACACCATCCTAGCCGACTAGTAAGTAATTTAGAACAATCAAAATGGGACCTCTACAATAAAAATCCAGTAGGATTAATACATTGGTCTATCAAAAAGAGTCCACCATATCCAATTTGGAAAAAAATATTACAAGGAAGAGCCATATACGTACAATCATAACTTTTATGTCAATCCTACCTGTAATTTCAACAAAGGGCATCTGGCCTGTTAATGAAAGATTATGCAGTCTTTCTTCATCCTTTGGTCTGATTTATCATGATTATCTTTCTATGCCACAGGTGCATAGGGACCAGGTTCTTAGAATAAATATATAGATCAGTGGTTCTTAACCTTTGTTACTCAGTTGCTTTTGAACTGCAACTCCCAGAAACCCCAGTCACCACTCCTGGTGGTGAAGGCTTCTGGGAGTTGCAGTCCAAAACTCCTGAGTAACCCAAGGTTAAGAACCAGTGACATAGATGATCCCAAAGATGGGTTTTATTTGAGAAAAGTAACAGATGAAGCCTATTTTGAGGTCTGCTTAATCTTTCCTCTTTCTTATATTGGTCTGCTCAATGCTGCTATGTCCAAACTGCTTCTCTTACCATAGGTGTGCAGTAGGGGAGATAAAGGACTCAGAATGGCTTTCCAGACCACAGGGTTCTCTGTGGTTTGTAAAGCAGTGGTGGGAAAGTGACTTTGAATGGGCAGACTATGGGAAGGTAAGGTTTAAGCAGCACCCTATCATTGCAAACTCTAAAGCTGCTTTTTGTTAAAACAAAGTACAGTATTCGGAGACCATTATAGTTTATTCTTATAGTTTATGCCATCACTAGGCTTTTAGTTTGGTTGTTCCTACTGCATGGTTGTACTGTATGTAGCAAAAAGATTGGGGTCATCAGGTCTGTAGTGGATTGCATCAATATAAGAAGAGCCTGGAAACATTACTTGTTTGGTCGGCAGCCCTCAGAAACTCCCAACTAGCAGGCAGTGTAGTCTACAAAACTCAAATATTTCCAACTTGACAAGCCGTGGTAACTGCTGGAGCTGGCAGTTGGTGCCACATTTGAGGAGCACAGCAGCAAAGAAGGGAGAATAGCTGCCATTAGACCTTGCACACTGTAGCAACAAACAATGAAATTGATTTATTTTATTTTTTTGCAAAGGGTACTTGGCCTTGAATTATCTTGTTCTGATTCTGCTCTCAGCATGTGGCTGGAGCTATAGAGCTCTTTTAAGAAAGCTTGGCCATTGATGTAGTGTAACTCTTTATATCCTTAGGAATGCTAAAATGGAAAGCAAACGGAAGCTTTCCACAGGAGCTTCTGGTACGAGAGAACCCACTCTTTCACAACGCAAAAAGCCACGAGGGGAAGATTGGGAAGAGGATGGCCCTTCACAGTTTGAAGAAGAGTTGGCTTTTCTGGATGAGGTGGAGGCTGAGATGGCTCTGGAGGCAAAGGAAGCACAGTTGGCACCTGATGCCATCCCTCTCAGTGAGTTAGACTGGCACTTATAAAGGAGGGCACTCCTTAGATGAACGATCTGGGGAAGCAGTTTGCCAAAAGCAATAGGATTGTTGTGTGACTGCGGTGCTTTCTGATGTTGTTTTTATAAAGGTGAAATATTTATGGAAGTTACGTTCATTTGTTTTAATTTGCTGGTAAATATTTCTGCTCTTTGACTGAAATCCAATACAGTGGTGCCTTGTTTAATGAGTGATAGTAAAATCACATCTAGAAAAAGCCGATTGAATCAGTGGAACTTATGGTTGAATTGACTTGCCAAATCCTTACTGATAGAATGGGCCTATGTTAGCTTTGACTTGCTACTGGATTCAGCTGTAATGTCCCTTTCTCACTGTTCAGTGTTTAGGGCACTGGTTCTTAACCTTTGTTACTCAGATGTTTTTGGACTGCAACTCCCAGAAGCCTTCACCATCAGCTCTGCTGGCTGAGGTTTCTGGGAGTTGCAGTTCAAAAACACCTGAGTAACAAAGGTTAAGAACCACTAGGGCATCTGGCTGCAGAGCCAGAGGTTGGGAAGTTTGATTTCTCACTGTTCCTACCTAACAGGGGCTCACTCAGTGGTCCATAGGGATCCTTCTAGCGCTGCAATTCTAAGATGCTGCTGATGCTGATTGAGCTTATAAAATAACATTTTTTTCAAACCCCAGTTACAGGTCTTGCCTTTCTCTCATTTTTGGCAGGGCCTTGCATCTTTGCATGGGCTTTCAAGTGAACATTCCTTTTTTTGAAAGGATAAGGTATTAAGGATCAGAGTTGCAGAATGGGATGGTGTTTCCTTCTAATCTGGGTTTCCCTACTTCTTTCAGGTAATCTTTTCACATCTGTGCGGAATCCCAAGTGGCAGAGACCAGCCCCTCCCAAAATAAATCCCACAGAGGATGCCTTGTGTTTCCAGCAAGTGGAACTGGATTATTATGTGGGTGAGTGTCTCACAGACTGAAAATCTGATAGAGAGGTCTTGAAGGCGTTACTGGATGGATGGGCTGGGATTCCATGGTGTTATTCTTGTTCCTGGTAAGGGGTTTTGCAGAACTAGATATTCCTTTTGTCTGGCTAAACAATAACCCTCTGCTGCTAGAGGGGAAGTCTGATGCTGTTACAGTTCCTGGGGCTTTTGGTAGCTACAATAGCCCCATAATGTTTCTACCTCTTCTTGCCAGGCAGAATATAGGAGGACTGGAATTTCCCTTTTTTGTGAATGGAGGGATGCTCAAGAAGAAGGTTTGTTTGTGGAAATGGGTGCTCTATCTTTTATTTATTTTTTGCATAACTTCCATTGCTGGTCAAGAGAGGCTCTGTTGCTGTGCTAAATGACTGGGGAGTAAAACAGTACAGGAAAGTAAAGTGGACTGTTGCTGCCAAGAATTTTTTAAAAAAATGAAAGATGGCCTAGAAGGGACCAGAGCAACCCTTTTACTCTCCGTTATTATCTTGTCCCTGGTGCTGTCTAAATAGTTTGTGCACCCTATGATTATGTTTTAGTGGAAAGAGATATGTAACTGCTTTTCAGCAACTGATCCACCTGCTCTTTCTTCTGGAGACAGGTACTCATCTCCCTGGATTCCCAGGATCTACTCAGGGTCCAGTGCCTGTGTTACGGATGTTTGGCATCACCGAAGCTGGCAATAGTATCTGCTGCCATATCCATGGTTTTGCCCCATATTTCTATGTGCCTGCCCAGACTGGTGAGTGTTCAGATTTGGTGGGAGGAAGGGACTACCCTAAATTATCCCTTTTATGCTTACAGTATAACCATTTGCCTGCTCTACCCTTCTTGTCCACCCCCCCCTTTTCCCCCCTCCAGGATTTCAAGCAGGGCACTTGGCTGACTTTCAGCGGGAACTAAATGCTGCTGTTATCCGGGACATGAGGTCCAACAAGGACGGCCTGAGCCAAGCTGTGCTAGCGGTGGAGATTTGCAAGAAGCAGAGTGAGCCTTTGCAGAGAGTGGCTGCGAAGGTGCACTCTTTTCGGTTGGCAGGATGTTGGGTTAGGCCTAGATTTGGGGTAGTTTTATTTATTTATTACACTTTTATACAGTGGTGCCTCGCACAGCGAGGTTAATCCGTTCCAGATTAACCCTCGCTGTGTGAAAGCATTGTTGAATGGAACGTAAAAACCCATTGGAACGCATTAAATATGGTTTAATGCGTTCCAATTGGGCCGAATACTCACCGTTCAGCGATGCTTCAGGATGGCCTGCAGCCATTTTCGCGCCCTCCCCTCGCTTTACGAGGGCGCGAAAACGCTGCGCGCGGGCATTTTGTAGCTGCTGAACAGCTGATCAGCGGGTCGCAAAGCGAAGGTTGGTAAGCGAACCGCTTACCAACCTTCGCTCTGCGATTTTCGCCCTATGCAGGCACCGTTTTGTGATTGCATTTGCGATCGCAAAACCGGCCTCGTAGAGCGAATTCATCGCTCTACGAGGCGCCCGTTGTGCGAGGCACCACTGTACCACACTATCTGGCCTGGGGCCACACTGGGCGGTATACAACAAAGAACTAAACACAACTGCTGTCTCTTGAGATCATAGCAATCCTGATCATGTAATACTCTGAACAGTGTTGCCCTTTTGTGCTTGTTCTCAGTGGTACCATATTTATTTTATTTATAATATTTCTTTCCCGTCTGTCTCCTTAAAGGACCCAAGGCGGCTGCTTTGAATTTTATCATGCTATTGTAATAGTTGAGCTGGGCCTGAATACATAGGACTGTGTCACATTCGTAGCATGTGCTAGGGTTGGGAATTTGTGACCTTCCAGGTGTTTTGGGCTTCCCTCGTATCATCTTATATGTATGTAATCTCACCTGATTTTGGAAGCCAGGTAGGATCAGCTGTAGTTAGTACTTAGATGGGAGATGACTATGAGGGAATAGAAAGTGTGATACGGAAGAGGGTTCAGTGGTAGAGCACAGGCTTTGCTTGTAGGAGGTCCCATGTTCAGTCCCCACAATCTCCAGGTAGGGCTAAGAGACAAAATTGTGCCTGAAACTCTGAAGAACCATTGCCAGTCGGAGTTGACAATACTGGGTCAGAAGAATCAGTAGTTTGACAATGTAATGACCGGCTTCAGCTCTCAGAAGCCCCAGCCAGCATGAAAATTGGTAAGGGACTCCGAGTTGTAATCCAGAACATGTGGATTATCAAAGCTTCAACAGAAAAGATCTAAAGCAGAGGTCAATTTATCCTAGTTTGTCTGAGCTTGTTAATAGACCCCTTGCTTGGTGGCTTATTATTGCAAGTAAAAAAATACCTTCAGGCACAGAAGAGAGAAATATTATGGAAAATTGTTCTCCCTCCCCATTAATTGTTTCTACAATTATCAAACGTAACTGTTTGAACTCCATACAATCTCCACTAGGCCTGCATTGTTAGGGGGGTGGGGATATTCAGATATGGAAGCTGCTGCACATAGAATGTAGAACAGGAAAGGGAGGTTTGTAGTAAGGAAATCTCCAGTCCTCAGTGAAAGCTAAATCCTTTTGGTGGTCTGTTTTTTCCCCCCTTCAGATATGTATGGCTACCATGGGCAACAGCTAATGCCCTTCTTGAAAATCACAATGGCAATGCCCAGGCTAATTGCCCCAGCTAAGAGGTTACTGGAACAGGGTTTACGTTGTGGGACTTTGGGAGTACACCACTATCAAGCTTATGAGGCCAATATTGATTTTGAAATCAGGTAGGAGGACCCCTTTCTTAGTGCCGTTTTCTTTCCTTGTTTGAATGGAGAAGCTCTCGCCTAGTTTTGTTCTGCTAGCCAGAATGATGCAGTCTTAACAGAGTGAGATTTTCATTCCTCAGCAATGGCATGGCATTTGAAGAGGGGCCAGAAGCAGAAGTAGAAGATTAAGTGGAGGAGGTCTTGGTGTTTACCATCTTTCGCTTATGGAAGTGCTGTTGTTTGTCAGAAATGAATGACTGGGATCTTGCCAAGCAATACAGATGCAGAAGCTGGGTGCAAGAACAACTGGACAGATTTGGGAGGGCTGAAAATAGTGTTTTTATTTCCTCTGTGGCTGTAGTGCTCTTATCTGCTTTCTCGCAACCTTTCTCCTTTGAAGGATTACATGTAACCACATGTTTTAATGTGTTTTGCAATATTATTTATAAACTGTATTTCATCTAGGAAAACAAAATAAAAACTGTAAAAAATAATAAAATGTGATTTGATGGGGAAGATGTGAGTTTTCAAGTATTTCTCTGCTAGTTTCCATCCAACCCAAGATTTGTCTCCCAAATTAGATTTATGGTGGACCGGGATGTGGTTGGCTGCAACTGGATTGAATTGCCTGCTGGAAAGTATCACCTGCGGCAGCAACAATCCACTGGCGAATCCAGCAAGGAGAATCCAGCCAAGGTGCTGTGCGTGTTTGGCAATGATGGTGCAGTGTAGAATAGAGTTTCTGGGGAATGGCCCTGTTGCTGCTTCTTTCTTTCAACACCTCGGTTCTGCCAGCTCTAGTCGGTAGCCTATTAAGTGACTTCTAGATAACCCAGCTCTCCATTAGCTGGGCACTAGACTTTCCTGGGGTTCCTTCAGTTTTAAGAGGTGGGTTGTTCTTTCTTTCCATACTATAGTCATGATACTTTCTGGCATTCGTTCAAGAGTCACAAGTGTTCTGAAAAAAACTTTTCCTTGATTTTTACTCTGGGAGGAGCAGGATGGTAGCTGAAGAGTGGATGCACACTTGATGTACGTGCTGTGAGCCTTTCACTATTAGCTGAAAGTATTCTTACTCCTATGCCTGAGGACGTGGATTTGTCCTGGAAAGCTCACATTAAAATATAGCAGTTAGTCTGTGGGTAGCAGAGGGGCTGAGGAAGATTATGGATGCAAGATCACAGATATTTTCGTTACTGAATCTGAGTCTCCACAACATTAGTCCCACATTTTAAGCACTGGCTATGCCACACCTGCTGCAAGAGAAGCATCATGTGTAGATCATGTGGTGGGGTGAGGTGATGCCCTTTTTTGGCACCTAACACCTATCCTAGCTTGATAAAGGGTCCAAAAAGTGGGATGCTTAGAGGCAGAGATATTTTCTGAAAGATGTGAATGCAGTGTATGTAAGCTTCGCTTGGGAAGGTGCATGAGATTCCTCAGGGCTGAAGATGACAGAGATATCTGACACATTAATTTTCCTTGTTTTTCTTCCTGCCCATAGGTATCACTCTGTCAGCTGGAAGCTGATGTGGCCTGGATGGATTTCATTAGCCATCCCCCCGAAGGAGAGTGGCAACGGATAGCCCCCTTGCGTGTGCTCAGCTTTGATATTGAATGTGCCGGACGCAAAGGTATCGGAGAAAGCAGATGGGGCAAACTGCAATGTGGGGAGGCGATTTTAATTTAGTTATCCTAAATTTGATAACCACGATGTTTATAAGAATAAAAAAAGCTTATAATGCTGAAATAGTTGTAACATGAAACACTCTCTGTTGAAGAGCATGTTTGGTGAAAGGTATATTAAGCATTGAAATGGCTCTTTAAATCAGTCTAGTAGGGATGTGAAACTATTTGCAAGCCCACTAAAGCCTGGGTTGTTTTGAGGTGGCCTGTGGGCTAGGTCTGGCAAGGCAAGAATTGTTGCTTTGCCCTGGTGGGTGATTAGTTGCAAGGACATCTTAACTGTTTGAGCCACGCAGATGCTTGGAGCAAGTGAAGGAACTTGCCCTGGTGGGTGATTAGTTGCAAGGACGTCTTAACTGTCTGAACCACGCAGATGCTTGGAGCAAATGAAGGATGAGGTGGCCTGTGGGCTAGGTCTGGCAAGGCAAGAATTGTTGCTTTGCCCTGGTGGGTGATTAGTTGCAAGGACATCTTAACTGTTTGAGCCACGCAGATGCTTGGAGCAAGTGAAGGAACTATTTAAGTATGGTGGGTTATAAGTGAAAGGTTGTATGCCATAGGGTTCAGAGCACTGATCTCCTTATCTGTGTTTGGGTGGGCTTGTCAATCACCAGTGGCTTTGGAGTGAATTACCATTACCATTTGTTCCTGTCACTTCACAAGGATTGTTAAGAGCACCACTGTATTGGACCTTTTTTCCTTCCATTTCCCCTTCCCTTCCTGCTCCATGGATGTATAAATGTCTGACACTGAGCCTCAACCTGGAAAACTTCATGTGCTAGTCTTGGAAAGTGCCACAAGTTTGTCGCTTTTGCAGATGTACACCAGAAACTAACATGATCATCGCAAAGCAATATTTTCCCATTAAAAACATCGCAATGTGATCACTTTTGCGATCACAAAAACTTAATCACTATGCGGATTCGTCGTTAAACGGGGCGCCCGTTAAGCGAGGCACCACTGTATTTAAGTATGGTGGGTTATAAGTGAAAGGTTGTATGCCATAGGGTTCAGAGCACTGATCTCTTTATCTGTGCTTGGGTGGGCTTGTCACCCACCAGTGGCTTTGGAGTGATTTACCATTAACATTTGTTCCTGAAACTTCGCAAGGACTGTTAAGAGCACCACTGTATTGGACCTTTTTTCCTTCCATTTCCCCTTCCCTTCCTGCTCCGTGGATGTATAAATGCCTGACACTGAGCCTCAACCTGGAAAACGTCATGCACTAGTCTTGGAAGGTGCTACAAGTTTGTCGCTTTTGCAGATGTAGACCACAAACTAACACGGCAGCAACGTTTGTATTAAACACCTTTTCCTCCATTTCTGCTCAGGCATTTTCCCTGAACCTGAGAAGGACCCAGTGATTCAGATTGCCAACATGGTGCTACGCCAAGGAGAGAAGGACCCCTTTGTGCGCAATGTCTTCACCTTGCAGAGCTGTGCCCCCATTGTGGGTTCCCAGGTGCTCTCTTTCCCAAAGGAGGAGGAACTGCTGAAGGTAGGGGGGGCTGAAGCTTCAGGGCTGCAAGGTGGGATGAAGCAGAGGTTCAGAGACAGGGCAGAGATTAGCAGGAGCAGTTGGGGGACCTGGTTAGCATGGTAGATTACTCTGTAAACATGCCGTATGGACTGTAAGTTTGGGTGTGGGGTTGCCTGTATATTTGATGGTTGCATTTGAATTTGAAGGACACCTCCCATTTCTTACACAGAACTTTGAAAAGTTACATTTTTGACTGAATATTCCCAGAACCTCTGGACGCCACGTCTGCTAGCAAGGCTGCTTAGTGGATTCTGAGATTATCGTCCCAAAACAGTACATTTTTCTAGCTCGTGCTTCTATGTTTCAGAACTGGCTTGGGCACCAGGGCTTGTTTTACCATTAGGCAAAATGAGACATTATGGCTCACGCAGAAGGGGTAGCAGCAGCAGTCCCTTGGCTTTTTGTTCCAAACCCTTGGGCCTTTTACTTTCCCGGGAGAACAGAGTCCTGTGTGCCACCTGCACTGTAGTGCTGTCTGAAATATGCCTGCTATTCCTTTGTCTTGGGTAATGCTGCTATCCCATCCTCAATATTAAAGTGAGATGCAAGTGGCAGTCCCATCAGCTTCTTTATGTGGAGTAGATACTCTTCGCCTCAGGCTGAAAAATGTGTTGAGCCTGTTGGGCACAAAGGGCTGGAAGATGGGCAGAACATTTGACCTGAAGACCAAGAAGAGTCCTCCCTCCCTCCCTCCCAGTAAGTGATCAGATGTGAATTAAGCTATCTGGAGAAAGGGAGAGAAAAATTTAAAATGTACTCAACAAAGATTCTGCTTAGCATCTTTCAAGCCACTCGTTCCAAGATATTCTTTCCAGAGAAAGGACGGAATCATAGCTGCTCTGTTTCTTTGTTCCTTCAGTTGGTCTTCCTCGTACATTCTTTAATTGGAAACAAGTTTTTGTGTCTTTGAAATGGCTGGAAGTGAAAAGACCTGTATCTTGGGAAGGAAGACTTAAAATGCCAGAATACAACAAACTTTTTATTTACTGTCCAAACCACTTAACTGGTGTCAGGTTTCTTATGAAGTTATCTGAAGCCAGACATCAAGTACCACAGACATCCAATTTGTGAAAAATTTATTCAATCTGGTGCTTTGCAGGTGCTTTCAGGACCAGCCCTACCATTAAGCAACGTGTGCCTTGGGTGACAGTTGTAGCCCTGGCCTGAGTCTTCTGGGTCGCTGTCTTCTGCCTACATGTTCTACATGTTGAACGCTACATGTTCAAAATCCCTACCCTCTTCCTGTAAAGGGCTAGACTCGCTCTTGAATGGGAAAACTTGTGAAATGTCTTTTCAAAGGCTTTTCCTTATCTAAGCTACCAGAAATCTGGGAGAAAGAGGATGGTGTGAGGTGTAGATTTGTAGGAACTTTCCTTTTTGCGGTGTCTCCCCAACTTGGGCAAAAGGGCCCGAAAAGATTTAAGCTTGAAATTCAGCATAGAGGAGAATTGTCGCCTGTCCTAGTAGATGGTTCTGGATTGGATGAAGCCATTTGTCTCAAGCATGTGTCTGCTTCCTCTGTAATATATCCCCTTTCTTTAACAGGAATGGGCAGAGTTTGTACGCATTGTGGACCCTGATATCATCACTGGTTATAACATTCAAAACTTTGACCTTCCCTATCTCATCACCCGTGCCCAGACTCTCAAGGTGAGCATCACTTTTCCTCCACATGTATGTATTTCTCAGTCCTCAGTTCTCTCTCTTGCTTTTCGGCTTTTCATACATGAAACAAAGACAGTGCCCTCATCTTGCCTGGCAGCAAACACAGGTAATACGATTCCTTTATGTCTGCATATATCAATGGGTTCTAGACTTGGAATTTGGGATCCTTTTAGTCTGTGGGATATGGTGTTAATGGAAGCTAGCAGCTGACTCTCTCCCTACTCGAAGGCCATGTAGCATCACAACTGCAAAGGCTATAGGTCTCGATAAGTACTGGTAAGTATACATGTAATACAAATCTCCTGGCAGGATAATAGGAAGAGAAGTGAAGAAATGTCTCTCTTCTAAATAATCTGGGACTAAGAAGGAGAAAAGTCTACACAACACTCCCTTTCTCCATTCTCCCTTTGCATCAATTCCTTGGAAGAAGCCTGCAGACCTCTGCTGTAGTGGATACTGTCCCAGTCAGAATTCAGCTTGGCTGCTACGAGGCAAACCTCTCTGCAGAGAGGGGCCCTGTGATTCATTCAGCCTTAATGAGAGGGTCCCTAGTGGGCAGGAATTTTGCCAGGGTGAGTAGAAGTGGTGGAGAAGTCATTGTTGAATGAAAATGAAAATATTCAAGGCTTAAAATTAGCTGTAGAGATTCACTTTGCATGTAAACCATCAGACCCTGTAGGGGCTACTCCTTAGACATCCAGATTTGGACTTTCCTTTTTCTTAGTGGTTTGCTTCCTCTTAGTTGATTGGCGTTGCAACATTAATCCATTAATTGTTCAGCTTTTTCCTAATGCTCATATGGGTGAGGGAAGGGATTCCAAGAAAAGGCACAGAAAACCTGCAGACCAAGTTAGTTGTACTTAGTCCCCATTTAAAACAAAAAACTTCACTTAAAGGTTATTCAAGATGTGATTGATGGTTCGGGTGGGTGATAGACATGTGCAGCGGCCAGATACATTATCATAAAATTGCCTCTTTATTCAGTGATTTATAAACTTTCCCAGTTCATAACTGCCATCCCTAGGCCATGTACAAAGTTTGAAAAAAAAGTATATTGATAAAATCTGATTAAAAGATATATTCCACCTTCTTTACCATACGATGCTTCTCCCAGGGTGATATCTGCCATGCAAAGTTCGTACAAAACACCTTGTCTTGAAAATAATTCGCTTCCCATTTAAGCAAGTGCCCCATTTTTTCGATCAAAATCTGTTATCTAACTGAACAAAGAAAAAAAAGAGTGAAACGAAGTTCTCAAAATGCTTGGATTTATTAAAAATGCCCAGACATTGTGATAAGTTTCTCTCTTGTTGTTGTTAATTTTACCCCCACCCCATCCCATAATCATTTCATTGACTGTCTTATTTTAGTCTTGCCTGTAACCCTAGCTACACTTTCTCTACTCTCTCATCAAGCTTCCCTGCTCATGTTTTGCATTCCCAGGTCTCCACCTTTCCTTTCCTGGGCCGTAATCCCAGCCGCAAGTCTGTCATCCGTGATTCCTCCTTCCAGTCTAAGCAGATGGGCCGGAGAGAGAATAAAATTATTAACATGGAAGGCAGAACCCAGTTTGATCTGCTTCAGGTAAGGAAGGCTAGTAGTCCCATTTTATCAGTGCAGGAGTTGGGAGGTAGATATAAAGCCAGTACTCTGTCCCTTGGGCCATGCTGGCTCTCTTACTTTGGTTCCTCCTCCAGGTTCTCCTTCGGGATTACAAATTGCGCTCCTACACATTGAATGCTGTCAGTTACCACTTCCTTCAAGAACAGAAGGAAGATGTACAGCACTCCATCATCACAGACCTTCAGGTAAACTTCTGGTCGCCAGACTGTGTGACTGTAAAGCTTTTCTCCTTATTGAGCCAACTTATTTGGTGGGTTGTATTTCAGGCCGTCCATCTGTTGTGCAATTAAGTACATGTGACTTCTCCGTTGTCTGTTGTAAGTTGCCATTGTACAGACAACAGTGGTAGGGAAACATGTGACTTTCCAGATGCTGTCACACTACAGTTCCCATGAGCCCAAGTTAGGAGAGCCAGCAGTGAAAACTGATGGAATTGACAGAATTTGCAAGCTTTTTGTTTTCCAACCCTTCTTGTAGAATGGCACAGAGCAATCTCGCCGGCGGCTGGCCGTGTACTGCCTAAAGGATGCCTACCTGCCCCTGCGGCTCTTGGAGAAGCTGATGTGCGTCGTCAATTACATGGAGATGGCAAGAGTTACAGGTGTCCCTCTCAGCTACCTCCTGGCACGAGGGCAGCAAATTAAAGTAGTCTCCCAGCTTTTGCGGCAGGTGAGATTGCTCCACGGAGGCCAGGGTGGGAGCAAAGGAAAGTTGAGAGCAGACAGAGGTTCCTATATTTTAGATCTCCTGATGCCTTCCAGATGCATTGTGCTGAAATTCTCATCTTCCTCAGGCGCAGTTGGCCGCGCTGGCCAGGGTTGCTGGGCCTTAGTCTAACACAAAGGGACTATTGTCTTTATCCGTTTCTTTCTGACATTTATAGTTCACATCTTTTCCAGTAAGCTCAAGGCAGTAGGTATGCAGTAGTTTACTCTCATAGCCCTTTGAGCTAGGCTAGTCAAAGGGGAAATAGGTTACCCAGGGCCACTCAGCCTCAGTATTTTTTTCAGCAGCACTACCCTGCACATCAGATGAGAATAAACAGCCCAGCACATCTGGAGCATACCACCTGGAGAAGGCTTCAGCATTTGAATCTTTGAGAGTTATGATCAAACTCATATTGAGGCAGCAATGGACAGTCTAAGGCTGTCGTCCCATGTTCACTTGCCCGGGAATGATCATCATCATCCTTTTAGAACTACAAAGCTGGAAGGGATACTATGGATCATCAAGTCCAGCCCCTGTTGAGGAAGCCCAGTGGGGAATCAAACTCCCAACCTCTGGCTCTGCAGCCAGAGACCTAAACCATAAAGGACATGAAACTTAATGGGAATTCCTTCTGAGAAGATGTGTATATGATTGTGCTAGAAACACCACTCTTTTTCACAGAAACTTTGTTTTCTTCCCAGTTTGCTAGTACTTGTCCACTAAATTCACTACCGAGGAAGGATTTCTGGACCAACTTCCATATTCAGTATTTTTAAAATTATTTTACTATTAATTATTATCATCTGAGGTAGACTGTGCTGGTCAAGTGAGAATCAGAGCCGGGGTCTCCTTAAGTCCGGCTCCCAACCCTCTACTACCACAGTGTTTTCTTATAGTGTAAATCAAGCATAATTGAGAAGGCTATTCTTTCTTCTTCCTCTCCGGTTGCAGTACTTTCCATTGTTACATTTCACCCAGGAGGCAGCTCTGGGTCTCAAACAAGGATATCAGCCTTTCCGCTTTTAAAGAGGAAGTGCCAGTGTCTTACTGTATTGGCTATTGGATCTCTTAGGTCTTGTCTTGCTTGAAACAATAATAATGCGATAAATAAATAACTCTTTGCCCCTAGCAACCAAATGTCTAAGTCAATTATAGGGCTGACAAGAAAGGCATACAGTTCGGGTGTTGTGCTGTCTAGTCTTGCCACAAACACTTCTATGACATCCTTCTTGCCTCCCATCTATTCCAGGAATGAGAGAACAGACCTGTCTCTTTTGCTTAGGAATCTTGGATATTGAGAATATGGTATAATTTAAGAATAGGGGATGTGTGTTTAGATGTCATATAATGTTGCACTACAGAAGCCATGATTCTTTACTAAGGTTGATGATTACTGATGATGGTGGATGATATTAAGCCTCAGGTTGATGGAACTTATAGTCTAACGACTGAAAGATCATACCATCTCCATTTATTCAAGGTTTTTTAAATGCCAAAACATCCACCAGATGACAATTTCATTCAGCAAATGATAATTTTGAATTGGAACTTTCTTTGTTCCAATTGGAACATTCTTTGTTATTGTTTTATTTGTTGCTATTTCTCTTTGATTTTATCAATTGTAAACCACCCAGAATAGTGCCTTACACCAATGGGGTGGTATAAAAGCCTAAGAAATAAATATTTTGCTAAAAATCCTATCCAGGTTTGACCATTAGCCTTTGGCTACTGTGCTACCACATTGAGTATCTGCAAATGCTAGTACTGTAATGCTAAAAATAGCAGATTGAACCTGAAAATAATGAGAGATGTGTGAGCGATGTTCAGGTAACACATTGGTTGATGGGGCAGTTCTATGTGAGCATGATATTATGTGTCATGGGAGAGGATCAAGACAAACCTCAAACTGAAATGTTCCCTCCACCCAAAGGCTATGAAGCAGGATCTGGTGATGCCAGTTGTCAAGTCAGAAGGTGGGGAAGACTATGCTGGTGCTACTGTGATTGAGCCACTGAAGGGGTAAGGAACAAAAACTGGTACCGATCTTTCTTCCACCTTGGTGGAGAGGGAGAAGGGAGGAGGTTGTCCTCATGGCTGTCCTAACTTGATGGTGCAGAAAGATCTTGAGCTACGTCTTCGGGCAAGAAATTGGATTCTGAGATGTTGAGTGGAGGAAAAAAGAAACAAATGTTGAGGATCAGTGGAGGGTAAGAGGGTTGAAGCCACCCTATTCCAGTTTTGGAGTGATACTGGAGTTTTGAGCAGGGGGGATTTTGATGAGAGGGCGTGAGGGTGTGTTTCTTGAAGATGGATCTGTTCTATGTTCTTGGTGAGGAATAGTATTCCTAGTAGGATGGGTGAAGCAAGCATTGGCAATGGAAATTTCTTGCTTCTCACTAGGCTGGCCAGCAAAAAATATTCAGTCTACTAGAGGAAAAAGTGGCAAGAAACAGGAACATAGCAGACTCTTCTTCTCTTTTAGCTATTATGATGTACCCATTGCTACCTTGGATTTCTCTTCCCTGTACCCTTCCATCATGATGGCTCACAACCTGTGCTATACAACGCTATTACAACAGGGGGCAGTTGAGCATTATGGGTAAGTAAAAAATGATCTGGAACAGCTGCCCTTTTTTTAAACGAGGTACCAGCATTGATGTGATGGAGACCAGCCACCACATTGTTGCTTTTGTTCATGGAACAAGGAGATTCCTTCCTGATGCCTAATAATGGCAGGTGTTCAGGAGGACTTAAGCAAGATGACAGGCTGCATGCCTCTAAAACAAGCATCAGTCAGGTGCAAGTCCAGCTCATATACTTTACCTTGTTTTTCAGTGTAGCAGTCCTGGATGCTCCCAGCAAAAGGAGATCTGTTTTCTCCATTGTCATGTTATTAAAAAAAAAATCAGGAGTGAAGTTGGCAAAGGGAATGGGAGAGAGAGAGAGAGGATTCCCCAGGGATTCTAAGGTTTCTCCAAACGAGGAATATTCCTAGATAGGATTGGCGGCTTCGGATGATAAAATATAAAATTAGGTGTCTGTATTTCCTGACCACTCACGATGGCTGACTTCTCTCTCTCTCTCTCTCTAGGCTTTCATCAGATGAGTTCATCCGCACCCCAACCGGAGACCTGTTTGTCAAGTCTTCTGTTCGCAAAGGGCTGCTGCCTGAGGTTTTGGAGAACTTGCTGGCTGCGCGGAAGAGGTGAAGCCAGAGCAACATTGGTGGGGTTTGAAGTGCTCGTAAAAAGAGAAGCCAGGCCATTGCTTGGACAGAGCACCTGGCGGACATGTAGAAGTTCTATTGCTCAGCATCTTAATTTAAAGTATGAAACGTACTCTTCCAGATGCTGGATTGCAGCTCTGATTGGTCCTCACCACTGGCCATGATGGCTTTGTTTAATGAGCGTTACAGTGCAACAACACCTGGAGAGTCAAAGTTACAAACAGTTTGTGAGTTTAGATGACTTTAGGTAGAAGAAACAGGAAACAGCATGACCTGAGACTGTGTACACGGTGGATGCTAGTCAGAGCAAACAATACCTCAAAAGGAGGGAGCATAGTCCAGAATTTCTGAAGATATATTTTCATGTTCAGGAGCCAGAATCTTTGTGTTCTCCTAATTTCCCTGACTTGGGGATAAGATTTTTTAAAAAATTTAATACATTCAATAAAAGGGAAGAAATAATTACAAATGCTGGGGTTTTTGTAGTGGAATCCAGGAACTGAGCATGAAAGCCTGAATACCTGGGCATTGGAAGTGGGCAGTATAAGGGCATGACCTCTACTAATTCAGAGACTCCAGAGGATTTGGAAGCTAAAAGTCCGTAGCTATTAAGAGTTTTAAAGATTCACTTAAGAATGGAAACGTGGGGTTCCAGGTGAGGCTGAGAGAATAATTTATGGCTGTAGTTCTTTATTTGACTTACTTCTGTCCCATCTTTCCCTTAGGGCCAAAGCAGAGCTGAAGCAGGAGACAGATCCATTCAAACGCCAGGTGCTGGATGGGCGGCAGCTGGCCCTCAAAGTCAGTGCCAACTCTGTTTATGGCTTCACTGGGGCCCAAGTGGGCAAACTGCCATGCCTTGAGATCTCTCAGGTAAACCCAGTTCTGATCAAAGTTAGAGGAGTTCTCAGTCTGTGATATATTTTTACAGCATACTTAAGGTCATCTGAGTATGGGAAACTACTGTTGCGGAATCCTTGTCTGTTATCACATGAACTGGTTGCATACCAACAGTGGGCAAGGCGAGTGGCTATTAAGTTATCTTTCATTTGTTATCACGAAAGCTGATTTGAGTGAATGCCTCGATGTCCTTAGTCTTGTCTTGCTTGTTTCCATGTAGCATGCTATAATTGATTAACAGCGCAAGTCTGTGCATACATACTCAAAAACAAGTCTAATTGTTTCCAGTAGTGCTTACTCCCAGACATGCATCTATAGGATTGTATTTTAAAATATCATTAATTGAACCGATTACTTGCAGTTGATGTATAATAGACCCGGGATGTGCACGAAAACCACGAAAAAGGCACTGCCCTTGCAGCAGAATTTAATTTTGAGTTCACTATTGCAAGATTTAGTAGTTGTAGTCAGCTTAGGGTAGTTCTCAAAAAGGTTAGAAAAATTAATTTATACACAGAATAGAGCCACGCTTTGCAATCCAGAAAGCAGTTGCATAAAACTGAGCTGTGCTTTGTATGCCTGAAAGGGATAAGGCTGGAGTTTCCTCCTGAGCGGACGTGCATGGCATTGAACAGTTTTTTATATGCTTGGCGGGGAAAAGTTACTTTTTCTGCCTGTAGCTTTTACCATTCCATGCTGAGAGATTCTAGGAGTAGTAGTCCCAAAAAGGAACTTCAAAACTTTGAACCTCCCTACTACTCTTATTTAGTTCCTGGGATAGTTCTTGAATTGGAAATTGGGCTTTGAGCACCTCTCTCAAAAGGCTGGCCACCCTTGAGCTGAAGCAGTCCTCCTACGTCCTGCTCCCCAACTTATAGGTGTTGGGCTTCAGCTCCTGTCACCCCTAGTTCTCACACCAATGGCCATGGGTTATGGGAGTTGTAGTCTAAAACATCTGGAGGGTGTGTGGTTTTGTTTGCTGTGCGTGGGCTTGGATCCACAGTGGCGAGAAAGGCAGTATATAAATAATATAAATAAATAAATTTTTAAAAACCTCAGTCTTTTCAAAGTTGAAATGATGGATTTCTGTTTAACGATTTGTGTCTATAGTTTTCATAGCTGTAAGGTTTTTGAATGTTTTCAAAGTTTGAAGTACTTTTGTGCTTCTGGAACACAGGAGCAGCTTTTAACTGGGATAAATGTCAGCTGTGACAAAACACAGGCTTCTGATTTTTCCCTAGAGGTCTATAAAGTTCTGTAATGGGCTTAGAGATGGGCACGAACTGGTGGTTCGTGTGGTTCATATTATGGCCAAACAGGTGTTTGGTGTTTTCCAGCCCACTCAGAGGCAGTGCCTGGAGGAGGTGGGGCAGGGAAGATGGGGCACCACTTCTGAGTGGGAATTGGCTGGAAAGGTCGGGGCTGGGAAATACCGAATACCTCTGTTCAGCCATAATATGAACCGACACAAGCGGTTCATGCCCATCTCTAATAAGGCTCTTGGGAGGATGTTCCAGGGTCAGAATCCCTGACCTGAAAAAAAGGAGCAAGGCATCCGGGGCATGACAGAGGTTTTGGGGCTTGACACTTTCGGAAGGGGCATGCTTAACTGTGGATTGTGGCTCTCCTAATCTTAGTTTTGTAAGATGTTGTCTGGCAAGAGGCCATCTTACATTTGGGTGAGAAAGGAGCAGGGCCTCCGCACAAATAAGTGTTTAAACAATTCATTCGAAAGAACTGAGGAGATTGACATGAGGAGGTCAGGCCTTGAGCTTTTACTAGAAAATTTGCAAAATAAGCAACCTGTGTCTCTTGTTGGCTTTTCACTATCATCTAATATCATTTACATGCAAATATGTGCTTAAGGAGCAGGGCCTCCGCACAAATAAGTGTTTAAACAATTCATTCGAAAGAACTGGGGAGATTGACATCAGGAGGTCAGTCATATACCAGGCCTTGAGCTTTTCCTAGAAGCTTTGTAAGATAAGCAACCTGTGTCCCTTGTTGGCTTTTCACTATCACCTAATACCATTTACATGCAAATATGTGCTGCTTTAATTCTACTCCTTTCCAATTCTAGTGTTTTAGAAAAGCATAAGCAGGAGACCCTGCAGCCAAATGCCCCCATGCGGTCTCGCCTCCTAATAGGATATTCCTGTTCAGGGTTCCTTCCAGTTGACTGTGTGGTCTTCAAATGAGCACCAGAAACTTGTTACTTGGAATACATCACTCTAATAGGATATTCCTGTTCAGGGTTCCTTTCAGTTGACTGTGTGGCCTTCCAGTGAGCACCAGAAATTTGTTACTTGGAATACATCACTATATGTCTTTGTTTCCTTTCTTTCTTTCTTTCTTTCTTTCTTTCTTTCTTTCTTTCTTTCTTTCTTTCTTTCTTTCTTTCTTTCTTTCTTTCTTTCTTTCTCTTTCTCTTTCTCTTTCTCTTTCTCTCTCTCTCTCTCTCTCTCTCTTTCTTTCTTTCTTTCTTTCTCAATCCTTAGGACAAATAGCTGTAACACAGTGAGCTTCAAGTGGAGAGGTGGAGGAAAGTTAGGGGCAAATATTTCATAAAGGGCTAACTGTAGCTCATTTTGCATAATTGACTATACAGGTTGTTCTGCTTTGTACTTTTCATCATTGCCTTTTATTTGGTCAGAAATCCATTGATTTTCCTTGGATTCCTTGTATAGTTTGTCTTCATTTCATGGATCTTACTCCCTGTTTATCTGCTGTTATTGAAATATATCTTCAAATTAATTGCACCTGTGGATAGCCTCAGATCATCTCTGGTTACACCTTTTGCCCACCGGGGCAAATGAAGGACCTCGTTTTCACATGCTATCTGTCTCACCACATATACAACCCATTTTTCTGTTTTTCTTTTTAAACTGACATTTAGTAAAAATGCGAGTAAATAGGTACCACTTCGGTGGGAAGGTAACAGCGTACTTTGTCTAGTTGCGCTGGCCACGTGACCACAGAAACTGTCTTCGGACAAACGCTGGCTCAATGGCTTGGAAACGGGGATGAATACCGCACCCTAGAGTTGTACATGACTGGACTAAATGTCAAGGGGAACCTTTACCTTACAGTTTGTATGCTCGTTCTCTGTTCGGGGAAGAGGGAGGAATTGCCTCTTTTAGTTTCTCCTTAATGTATGTTTTTCTGCTAGAGCAAAATCATGGTATTCCCCCTCTGAGCAAGCTGATATGTCCCCCTAACTGCCTACAAACCTGTTTTGGCTCTTTTTCTGCTGGCACTCACCACCAGAGTTAACACAAGCAATTATAAGAGTTATCTCACCATATCACAATTACCAAAAAAACACTGTCTCCCTGAATCCAGCAAAATCATGGTATTCCCCCTCTGAGCAAGCTGATATGTCCCCCTAACTGCCTACAAACCTGTTTTGGCTCTTTTTCTGCTGGCACTCGCCACCAGAGTTAACACAAGCAATTATAGGTTATCTCACCATATCACAGTTACAAAAAAAACAACAACAACAACAACAAAAAACCTATCTCCCTGAATCTGTTCACAAACAGCCCCCTTCTGAAGCTTTAGCCACAGGGGCTTTTTTAAAAAGAAGAAATCAGCCTTTTAAAATATGGTCTGCTCCTTTTCATGAGGTTGTTGAAGGTTTTTTGTTTTCCATTCATGTTCTTCTGAACAAGAAATGAACTGAGGTGGGATGGGTTTCTGCACCACTGATTGGCGCACAACCCAAGCCCATTCTTGAAACATACTGTCTCCACCATACCAATAAAAGTAACTTAGATGTTACTTCACTAGAGGGATGAAGCATCCTGTTGTTGTGCCACAGTAACAATGTAATTTGTGCTTTTTTGGGGGGGGAATTAATACATGTAGCTTATTCTTTGCAAACGATTTCTTCCAAGCTCTGAGAGTATCCTCAACACCTTGTCCCCCAGAACTCCTAACATTAGCATCATCTTTCTGTTCCAGAGTGTGACTGGATTTGGGCGCCAGATGATCGAGAAGACAAAGCAGCTGGTGGAATCCAAGTATACCATTGCCAATGGATACACTGCTGATGCTAAGGTTAGTGGGGTGAAGTCTAGACAGGCAATCCCAGGGTTTAAAGTAGAGCAGTAGAAGAGGCCTATGAAGGAGATATGTTAGAATTAAAATACAGTCTGCTCCTTTTCATGAGGTTGTTGAAGGTTTTTTGTTTTCCATTCATGTTCTTCTGAACAAGAAATGAACTGAGGTGGGATGGGTTTCTGCACCACTGATTGGCGCACAACCCAAGCCCATTCTTGAAACATACTGTCTCCACCATACCAATAAAAGTAACTTAGATGTTACTTCACTAGAGGGATGAAGCATCCTGTTGTTGTGCCACAGTAACAATGTAATTTGTGCTTTTTTGGGGGGGGAATTAATACATGTAGCTTATTCTTTGCAAACGATTTCTTCCAAGCTCTGAGAGTATCCTCAACCCCTTGTCCCCCAGAACTCCTAACATTAGCATCATCTTTCTGTTCCAGAGTGTGACTGGATTTGGGCGCCAGATGATCGAGAAGACAAAGCAGCTGGTGGAATCCAAGTATACCATTGCCAATGGATACACTGCTGATGCTAAGGTTAGTGGGGTGAAGTCTAGACAGGCAATCCCAGGGTTTAGAGCAGAGCAGTGGAAGAGGCCTATGAAGAAGATATGTTAGAACTGGCTAATACTAAATGCATCTCACCACCTAGTTCTCTCACCTCACTTTTTGTGCTCTCCTGGCAGTGGTACTTTCTCAGTGATGACAGGGATGGAAGAGCTATAGCACTAAGGTCAGGTTAGAGGATGGTTAGGAGGTTGATGGGACGATGAAGTAAGTGGAACAAGGAGATGAGGCAGAAACTGCAAGAGGAAGAGAGAGCAGCACCGTCTGGCTTGTGGCGGAGGCAGCTGGCCTAGCTGTGCCGTGACTGAGAAGCTACAAGATGCAGGGAAGGGTAAGTAACTGTTTTGAAAGACTTTGGGTTCTTCTGACCCCCCAGGTGGTGTATGGGGACACGGACTCGGTCATGTGCCGTTTGGGCGTGCAGTCAGTTGCCGAAGCCATGGAGATCGGTAGGGAAGCCGCCGCCTGGGTCTCTAGTCATTTCATTCCTCCCATCAAACTGGAGTTTGAGAAGGTGAGTTGAATGGTGACTCTCACTTTTCCTTCCTCCCAAGTGGGCTGAGTGACGTGAGGAAGAAGGGCTTGGTGCAAGTTTCCCAAAGCACTCAGACCTGGTGCCCTTCCAGATGTGTTGGACTACAAAGCCCATAATCTTGGCTTACGTTGGCTGGGGAACAATAAGAATTGTAGGCCAGGACATCCAGAAGGTAACAGTTTGGGAAGCATCTTCCAAGTTAAAAAGGCAGAAAAGAGAGACCTTTGAAATGAGTGGTAAGACCAAGAAGCGCTTCTTGTGAATCAATAGATGATGAGACATGTTCATCAAAACAAGGTGACATTAGGAATGTACCCTTTGATTCTGAAAGCTATGCGAAGCACTATGAGAAGCCACTGGCAATGGTGTGGCTAAAAATACTGTAAACAAATAAATAAATAAATGATGCCAATTGTTTCAGAGCGCTTGACATACAGATGTTCTGCCGTGGCCTCAAAGTGCAGTTTGTATTGAGGAAGCTGCCATCGGTTCTGAGGGCCCTCAGATCTTATATGACTAATGAGCTAGTTGTTGGAATATACATTTTCGCTCATTGCTTGTTCAAAGCCGGGCTTGGGGGCAATGTGCTCGTCTCTGAAATTTGAGGGGTTTCTTCTTTGCCCCCTCCCCCTGGCAATTTTTTCCTATAAAAGTTTTTTAATCCCCCTTTCACCTTGGAGTGGTCAATTTTAAAAACTGAAAAATACTTTTGGGGTATGAGAGGCTTATGGGTGCTGGCAGAGCTTCCAAATGTGGCAACATTACCAACCACACCCCCAAAAGTCACAAGAAAGTATTTTGAGTCAGAAACTGTTTTCTAAAACTATATATGTATTTTAATTTCGATGTATGGGAGTGTTGGGGAATGCAGGTTGCTCACCCCTATTTTACAGCAAAACATCTTTCTGTCCTTTCCTGAGATCCCATTTTTTAAAAAAATCAGTTTTCCCATAGTCCTCCAGTCAGTGAAACCCAATCCAGATGCAAAGATCTGGAAGAGGTTACAAATTTGGTACTTTGCAGTGAAACCCAATCCAGATGCAAAGATCTTTAATAATCCTTCTGGAAGAGGTTACAAGTTTGGTACTTTCTTATTCTTCTTTGTTCATATCAGAAGTGATGCTTTTGGGATGGAAGGATCAGCTGATAGAGTGTCATTGTGGCCCAGGGGGTGCCCAAATGTATACATGGTCTTCACATTTTTCAGGGAGGCTCCATCTGTGCTCCCTGTTTGGTGCCTTGAAATGAATACATACATTGTAATGTGCGTCTTTGCTTTTCTCTCAATCCGCCCATCTCCCAGGTCTATTTCCCCTACCTCCTGATCAATAAGAAGCGCTATGCTGGTTTGTACTTCTCCTCCAACCCTGATGTCCACGATAAGATGGATTGTAAGGGCATTGAGACCGTGCGTCGAGACAACTGCCCCCTAGTGGCAAATCTTATCAACACATGCCTGCAGAAGTTGCTCATAGATAGGTCTGTGGTTGCTTCGGATGAAGATGCGTTATAAAGCGAGCCGTACGGGTGTCTTGTTAGTCCAAAATGTGTTGTGGCTGTGGGTGAGCGAGGTGGGACAGTGCATGCCTGATTGAAGGCTGAACAATATTTCAAATTCCTGGGTGCTCGATTAAAACATTGAGATGCTGGCTCCTAAAAGTGGGAAATGGTTTACAGTATTTCTTTAAAATAGATTTTCTGTTGCTGTGAGTTTGCTGTTTGTGCAGTGTGCTAGAGATCAGAATTTTAGTTCCAACAGTTTAGAAGCTACTCTTTTTCTGGAAGAACTGGAGATCACTAATGGTTCATACATTGGTTTCTTCTTGTAGGGATCCTGTGGGTGCCATGGCCCATGCTAAGGAGGTGATCTCTGACCTGCTGTGCAATAGGGTGGACATCTCGCAGCTGGTGATCACGAAAGAACTGACACGTACAGCAGAAGAGTATGCAGGGCGCCAGGCCCACGTAGAGCTGGCCGAGCGGTGAGTCGGAGAAGCTGAACTCTTCCATCCACCACCACCCACACACGCCACCTCCTTTTCAAAAGAGAGAGCACAGGCTCGTGATCTCAAGCCCTGAATCAAATAAATAAATAAAGGCCAGTCTCGGAACAGATCAAGGGACTGTTTCTGGGATGGGAAACCTGTGGGCCTTATGATCTTGTTAAACTTTTCAGCACACTATTAGCCCCAGCCAGTATGGCTTCAGGGTGAAGAATAATGGGAGTTGTAGTCCAACAAATCTGGAGGACTACAGGTTCCCCATTCTGTCAGATATATAAAGCTGCCTTCTGCTGAGTTAACCCCCACAGTCTTCTCTAATTGATAGCAGCTCTCCAAGGGTTTAGTCAGGGGCATCTTTCCTAGTCATGCAACCTGTGATCCTGATAATTGAGAGTTCCAGTGACTGATACAAGAGTGGTTCTGTTTACCCAACACATGGGCTTTGCCATGGCATCATGGTCCCTCTCTTGCTTTTTGATCACAAGCGCTGCTGCAGGCAATATGCACATTTGGCCTCCTTCCCTCCTCCTGCCTCGCACTCTCCGTGCCCTGAGTATTATGAGCCTGTCTGCCCTTAGGGCGGCGGAAAGGGTGTGTGGGTGTGGGGTGGCCGGCGAGGCATGACTGAAGGGAAAGGCAGAAATAGTAGCCGCGGCTGGCACAGCTGCAAGTGGAACCTCCTGCAACGCCCACCCCTCTCTCTCTGGGTTTCCTGTCTGGCTGCAGGCGTGTCATGTGCTGCGCACAGACGCACAGATACACTCCTGTCATGGGCCTGCTCCTTTTGCTTGGTTGCTTCACTGCTGTTTGAAAAACCAATGTTTGGATGATGAAAGCCTCCCCGGGAGGAGGAGGGTCTGTGGGTGAAGCTGGTATTGATTGCACTTGTGTGTCACTCTCCCCTGTCCCTCCCCTGGTTATTTCTCAGAAGTCTGATTGCGCAGGGAAAACATGTTAATAGTGTTACTATAATCACACCCTGGGTCATATGTCAGGGTTTCCAGTCACCTACATTTTGACAACTTCAACTCTTTTGTAGGGGATAAGACACTGGTCCAAAACTACTATCTCTAAACTCAATCCAGGAGTCCTGCATTACCTTCAGGACAGACGGATTCTATTTAGCATAAACTTTCTTGGACCACAACTCACTACACATCCCCTCTCTGTATCAGGAGGTCTATGGAAGCTTATAACATCTAAAATTTATCATCTTGAAGGTGCCACAGGCTCCGCTGTTGTTGTGTTGTTTTTCCTTGTCCTGCTGTCTGCCCCAAACCCAATCTGAAAATGCTCCTTAGCCCTGATCTCCAGTGTGCCTTTTCCAGGGCCTTGTGTTCAGTTCCAGTGGGTCACCATGCTGTGCCAACCCTGAACTTGAATCCTTATAACTCTCATGATTTCTCCCCTTAGGATGCGTCGCAGGGATCCTGGCAGTGCCCCCAACTTGGGGGACCGGGTGCCTTACGTCATCATTAGCGCAGCCAAAGGCGTGGCGGCTTACATGAAGTCAGAAGTGAGTGTGGAAGGGAGGAGGTGATGATCAGTAGCTGGCATCTAGAGGAGAAAGTTGTCCATGGCTGCTTGTCATAGTGACTGTCCATTAATCTCCAGGATGCCTCTGTATATTCATTGCTGAGAAGTGGGTTTCTGTATGTTAGCTGCCAGAGGGCGTCTCACTGGGGGATCTGGTTAGCCCTTGTGGGAACAGAATGCTTGACCATGGTAGGTCTTTGGTCTGATCCAGCAGAGCTTGTTTTGAATGGGGGAAAGGTTTGGAGGGCGAGCATGTACTTCCACACACCAGTTCATCAGAACATTACATTGAGTCACCCACATCATTAACCCAGCACCTTGGGATAGCAGAACGCTTATTGGAAGAAAAAGACACAATTAGATTTGAGGAAGGAAGTCGTAACATCCAGGCAGTTTTAAACCCCCACCCCAGCTGTAGTAGCCTGGCTTCCTATCTAGGGTGTCTGTATTTTAGGTTTAATTAAGCGTTTTGTGAATGTGTTTTTGAGGAACTTGTTCCCATCTGCTTCTGCAGCTTTCCCTCCTCCCCCCTGCTAAACTAATGGGCGGGGAAGGAGAAGGGGGGAACCCTCGGCCCAGGGCTGGAAGGAAAGGGAACTCTTGGGATAGGGCTGGAACACCTGGAGGGGAAGGTCTTCATACCATTTCCAGGTGTAGGCCAGCCCAGCCCAACCCTCCCAGTTGCTCTGGAACCAAATCCTGTTAGCTGCATTCATGCTCCATAATTTACCTGGGTCCAGCCCAGCCCAACCCTCCCAGTTGCTCTTGTTGAGACCAAAATCCTGTTAGCTGCATTCTTGCTCCGTAATTTTCCTGGGCTCTGGGCCCCAGTGGCTGCTGGTTTGTGCTGCAGATTTTCTGGCCACTGTATCTGTGTGCCTTCCAGCATTTAGCAGGCCGCCAGTTTGGAACTGATTAGGTGACAACATTTCCAAAGAAGAGAGGGGTCCTCAGTGCTGACATGTGCTTTAGAGCGTGGGATCCTTCTTTCCTGCTTAGCTCTTCTCCGCTTATGTTCCTTCAGGATCCCATCTATGTGCTGGAGAATAACCTGCCCATCGACACTCAGTACTACCTGGAGCAGCAGCTGGCCAAGCCCCTCCTGCGCATCTTTGAGCCCATCTTGGGAGAAGGCAAAGCACAGAATATCCTATTGAGTGTGTATTTCTTTCTTTTTTTAAGTTAGATTTTTCAAAGCGCATATGCACAGGAGGAGAATTTAAAAAGGAGAGAAAGGAAGAGAGGGCAGGGAAGGAAATACATTCGATAAAATCATGGGCAAAACATAGACATAAATAAAAAATGACAATCTTTTCAAAAAATTGCTGGGAGTTGGTGTTGGCAAGATGGACATTTATGCATAATGAGAAAGCAGTAAGATCCTACTACCATTAAATAGTGGATCTCAGGTCTTTCAGCCTTGGAGTATGACTCTTTAGCTGTAATGTGAGCATGCTAACTTCTAAATCACAGGAATATTTAAGAATCCATATGTGTCTAAATACTAAAGATTTTTATATATAGTAATAATTACTGTAGTAACTCCAATGAGAAAGGGGTTACCACTGGACATACTCTCAACTCTCATCCTACGCCACAAGGAACCATTATCTATATTACATCACTGACAGCTGAAGTGGTCAGTTTCTCGTTAAACAGAAATCTATGGCGTGAACATTATCTCTGACCTTCAACACAGAGCAGAACTGGAGTAGGGCTTGGGCTCTACTGTGGGGGAGGGTGGTCCTTAGAAGAAGGGAAGGGATCGGTCCTCAGTCTTGCAAAGACCACAGCCCTTCTGAGCTCACTGCTGTGTTTCTGCTCGTACAGCAGAACTTTGTGCACGAGAGGACTCAATTGAGTGTTGGCTTTCCCTGACTCCCTTTCCCTACACGAGGTATGGAAAGGGCCTGATCCTTTTGTTTCCTCCCTTTGCAGAGGGGGAACACACACGGTGCAAAACGGTATTGACAGCCAAAGTTGGTGGGCTCCTGGCTTTTGCTACTAAAAAAAGCACCTGCATTGGTTGCCGGGCTGTGCTGAACCATCATGGTGAGATCCTGCATCTGTCTGTCTTTGCTCTGCAGCATGTACCAAAATAAGCTTCCTCCCTCCCCCATCCCACACCAGTAACCAGAAGTGTATTTTGCAAGTTCCTATTGCCGTAACTTGCCACAGAAAGGGGAGTGTGTTTGTGTGTGTGTGTAAGCTGGGCCTCTTGTGCTCTTGTAACCCATAAGCAAGCCCTGCCATAGATGTCTATGAGCAGAACGTGACCTCTCCTATCCTCCCCAGCCTTCCTTTTCCACATTTTATAGGTAGGACAACAAAGGATTCATGTCAGATTTTTGGAAGAAGAATTGAAAATTAAAATGTTCTGGAAAAAAGTTTCTTGAAGGGAGGTAGAAATAACAGTCCAGAAAAGGAGCCACAGTCAGCCAGAACTCATGGGTAGCAGTGTGTGATCTCCAGGGCATGTTGTAGAGAAGGGCTGGGAAGAGAGTCTCCTGTGTTAATAATGGGAGCTTCCCAGAGAGTTCCTGAAAATCTTAAGTGGTCCATAGAAGTCTCTCTTTAGAGGCATAAGGAGGTTTAGGATGGGTGTCCTTTCCGTAGGCCTACTGTCCTGCAGACTAGATCACAAAGCACTAGTAAGTAAGTGGGCAGAATGAACAATCTTATATCACTCAAGCAAGTGAGCCAATCCACTCTTGAGCAAATGGGGCCAGACTATACCAAACATTGCAGAGCTGCTGATCAACTTAACACTACGTAAAAATTATTTCCCAGACTCAGATTCTTGAGGCTGCCATTGTGGGGCAGGACATTAATATGAAATGGTAACTTTCCCTGGTTCTGCACCCCCCTCCCCGACCTATAGTTATATCTAAACCATGAAGGAAATTAATCTGCCATTTTTCTTCTGAAACAAATGTGTTGAGGAGAATTTCTCCACACCATACTAGTTATACCTTACTGTCATAAGGTGTGTGGTAGGAAAGAAATTCTAAGGTGGGAATGTTTTTTGACTTTCTGCTTCTCCATCAGGTGCTGTGTGCAAATTCTGCCTGGGCCGCCAGTCAGAACTCTATCAGAAGGAGGTAAGATGACTTCTGATGGCGTTAGTAGAATTCCAGGCAGCCAGCAGGGTAGAAGAAAGGGACAGTCCCTTGTATTCTGGTTAATGGATGAACGTGTCCACTGAATTAGATTTGGGGGTTATAACTTGGAAGTTCCTGCCTTAACTTGGAAAAAGAACATGGGGAGAACAAACCCTTGGACATCTGAGGAGGTTTGAAAATGAGAAATCCTAGTATTGCTCAGTGGCCAAGATACTGCCCCAGGAAACAATAAATCCATGGTTTAAATCCTGCTTTGCCATAAATTCATTAACTTCCCTTAAGCAATTTTCTCCCCTGCACCCTCTGAACTCCACCCATTTGCTGTATGGAAAAGATTACACTGGCCAACCTTATAAGGTTGTTTTAAGGATCATAATAACATAAAGTACAGTTGTGCCCCACTTAATGATTACCCCGCACTACGACGAATCTGCTTAACGACAATGTTTTTGCGATTGCAAAACAATGTTTTAAATAGGTTTTTTTAATTTGATGATGATTGGTTCTCTGCTTCGGGAACCGATTCTTCACTTAACAATGATCAAAACAGCTGATTGTCGGTTTTCAAAATGTCCACTGGGTGCTTAAAATGGCTCCCTGCTGTGCTTAGAGACAGATTCCATGCTATACAGGCATCGAAAATGGCCGCCGTATCGAGGATCTTCCTGGACAGTGAGTTTTTAGCCCATTGGAACGCATTGAACGGTTTTCAATGCATTTCAGTGGGCTTTTTAATTTCGCTTTACGATGTTTTCGCTTAACAGCAATTTTCCTGGAACGGATTATCATCGTTAAGCGAGGAACCACTGTATTTGCAGCAGTTTCAGGAGTCATTTCTTACATGCCCATATTGCATTTATATTCGTTTTTTTTCTCCCACGAGCTCAAGGCAGCATCTGTGGCTTTCCTCCTTCCCACTTTATTCTTGTGACAATCATGTGAGGTAGATCAGTTTAAGGGAATGCCTGGCCAAAGGGCGCCCATTCGGTTTCGTGGCTCACAGAGCTTGGAAAAATTCCTTTCATGGACTATATGAATCCCTGGAGCTGAAGAATTCTGGCAGTAGTCAAAAAAAGTTACTTTTGGAAACTTTGTTGGAGCCTGGGTTTCCCCAATCTTAGGGCAACACTCCAACCACAGTACTATAGTGGCACTCCAGTGTGGTCTGAGAAAGTGCCATTTAAATGCTGGGTCATTCTGCAAGCCAGCCTGCCTGTCATTGGTCTGTCCCCTTTCCCCTTCTTTCCCTTCTCCCTAGGTGACTCATCTGAACTCTCTAGAGGAAAAATTCTCGCGCCTGTGGACCCAGTGTCAGCGCTGCCAGGGGAGCTTGCACGAGGATGTGCTGTGTACCAGGTGAGGGCTGGCAACACACCGCACCCATGCCTGGCACCAGTGGCTCTTTCCCGTTCCCACGGGACGTTGGGCTAAAATACGGCTTTATGCTACCCCAGGTGTTTACAGCTACTTTTATCTGGCTGGTTCAAAATGAACAGATGGTTCTCACGGAGAGGTGGGGGGGCGGGTGGAAGATGTTTATTGCCTTTATAAATATAGCACCTGTCAGAAGCTGGGATGGGGAGTGGAGAGACGGGAGCCTTTGGCTTCAGGATACATAAATCAGCTGGATTGTCTGCATTCTCCAACAGAGGAATAAGTATGGGGAAAGTTGGAAAATAATGGGAAGATGACCCATGCTTAGTCTATGTAAGATGCAAAAATTACATCATTGAATCCTGAAGGCAGGAAAGGTTTGTGTCCAATTGCAGGAGAAAAAAAAAACCCTTTTAAAACAATCCCTTAACCAAGGACAAACACATAGAAACTCTTTGAAAATGATCAGTAAACACAGAAAAAAGCTGAGACAGTAACTTTCTCTTGGCTGGGATAGTAACCTAACCCCACGGGATTATTTGCGGGGGGAAATGTCTGAAGAACAGAGTTTCCCTCTTGCAAGAGTGGTATAATCCATGCTATCACCTTATTCTAATGCTGGGTCTGACACAAGAGAGAAGTATGATCCTCTCTTGACCCTCATGTGTCTTTATTATCCTTCAAAAAACATTTTTCTTGTCCCATTTTGCTGCAGATAGGGCCCTTTTTCTTGTTGTTTTCCCTGAGCATCCTTAATGCCTCTGCCAGTCCCTTGTAGGGTACTGGCTGCATCTCGTTCCCTGTTGCTCCCATCCCTGAACCCTATTTTCTTCACCTTCAGCCGTGACTGCCCCATCTTTTACATGCGGAAGAAAGTGCAGAAAGACCTTGATGATCAAGAAGTACTGATTTCACGCTTTGGGCCCCCGACGTGGTGATGCCTCCTGAATCTCTCCTTCCCTTCAGACTGAAAACTTCCACCCACCGTCCCCCTTTATAAGGGAAGATCAACTTAGATACAGTCAGTTCAGAAGCTTCAGGGGAAATGGTCTCTGTGCTCTTGTTTTTGGCATGTTTTCCTTTGCCAAGATCAGAAGGACTCCACATGTTGCGGGAAAGACGTCATAACATGGTGTATGAAAGCCCTTTGGTGGGGGCTGTGATTTTGTAATACGGATTTCTACAAATAAAGATTTTTCTCCTTTTTTGATTCTTATGCACGAATGGCTTGTGTGGAGTTACATGGGCTTCTGCATTCAACAAAAGAAGTTAGCAAAAGTAAAGAGCTGCATTTAGCTCTGTTGGACCATCCATTGGATGGGTGAAAAAACTGGTATAAATATTTTCATCGTCATTGACATAAATTTGGCAGTGCCGACTCACATGGCCAGGTGTCATGTTGGTATTTGGGGGGTGGGGGGAGAGCACATGGCTTTTGTTTTATTTCCAGGAAAGATTTACACAGCACTGTTACCTGTTCAAGAAGTGTGCATATGAGTTTGTGCTGGGAGAGTAATATTAAGAGAAGGAGCAAATGTGAAAGTGATGTATGAGAGGGGGGATTTATGGATGCAAATATGTTTTTACAGAATGGATAAATTGTTTGCAAAGCATGCATTGAAATCAGGATATAGGCATCTAATAGAGTTAGAAACAGGGTTGAGCAGGCAGAAGGGACACCAAATACAAGTCCCAGCAAAAGCCAAGACTTGTGGAGTTCTTCTCAGGGGTTGGAAGAGGAAATGTGTGTTTTGGCAGTAGAGGCAAGATACTTGGGTGATCAAAGAGGATTGAGAAAGATGTGGTGGACTGGAAGGAAATGAATGGGGGCTGGGAAGGGAAAGCTGCAGGTCAGTGCTCCTGATGTCTCTTCAGCCTTGCTTTCCTTCCTTGTGGAATGTCCAGAAGATGTACGTAGTCTTCTGCATGCATCTGTTTGCGTGTTATGATATGCCTGCAAGATCAATCTACCAGGCTGTTTTGAGATGTGCTTTTCTTGTGGACACATTTCTTGGCTTCCAGGTTGTGGAGAAAAGTCTAGACAAAGAGAAGGTATTTGCAGTTTGGATTTTAAGTGAATTAGCACAGTTAGCACAGATCAACCACCTTCATCCTATTGGCTGTGGTTGCTGGGGTGTGTGTGGTGGGAATCGTAGTCCATCACATGTTGGGGAAGGTTTGGAGCATACATACTGTATTAAAAGATGTCTAGTGATTTATCCTCTGAAATCGTGTGCCACCTTTGCCATGTTCTCTACAGCCCAGCTGTTATTCCCTCTCGCGGCCTTCCTGTGTGTTCACAGAATGAGATAAGGACCATAAATTTGTCCTAATCATTTTCTTTAATGCCTGTTGCCCACTTGAACTCCTTGGTCAAACAGTTCAGTCAACAAATGATGTGACCAAAGCTAGACCTTCCAAGCACGCCAGCTGTACCACCTCAGATGGCTCAGCCAGCAAATGTGTTACATTCAAACATTTGTAGTCTGTATTTTCCCCTTTCATACATTCACTCACGAGTGCTTTGCAAAATACTAAAAGCAGGCATAAAAGTAAAATAAAAATACAGGTTGCAGACTTGGTGCAGTGTCAACAAACAAAGACCCAGAATCAATTTCCATTAAGCAACAACAGAATCAAGTACTTGTCTGCAGAGTGCAGACTGGGAGAAAGAAAATTAAGTTCTTGTGGCAAGGAGTTCCACAAGTGATCTGTCACCATCGAGAATGGTCCCCAGGCATACTGTCATCAGCAGTGCTTCAGAAGGGAACCATACATACTTGGGGAGGCGGACACCAGCTGATTCGAAATGATAACTAGATTTACATGGGAGGAGACAGTACTCCACGATGCTAGCTCCAACCATTTCAAATTAGAAGATCAATAACCAGCACTTTGAAATGTGTTTGGAAACAAACTGACAGCCCACTGGTGTGATAGAGAGGTAACATGATCCCATCACTTTGCAGCAGTGGCATTCTGCTTTCATGTAAGTTTCTGAATCAGATTGTACCAAAAGTATGTTTTAGTACTTTTTACTAAAGTGATGTGACTAACAATGCATGTAAGATTGTGGTCCAATTTACAAGCTCTTTCCATCACTAGAAGATTTATAATTCAAGGTTTGGAAGATAAACATACCCATCCATCATACAGTGGTCAAAAGATCTTACTGCTTTAGCTACTGCGAGGGCAAGCTCATAGTTGTTAACAGGTCCAAAGTCCAACAGTGAATTTACAGGCCGAGTCGGAATTATTTTGCAATCCATGGTGCTCCCGTCTTAAATGATAGACAATCGATATGTGCAAGATCATACTGCATGAAAATGATGCTAGATGCTTTTGCTGAATTTCAGATAAGAATTGCTTTAGCTACCAATGAATGTTCCACTTGCCAGCTCCAAAGGAAATCCTTTTAGGGTCTTAGGGCAGTTTACATTAATGTATATGCTTAGCCCACATTTAGATTATATTTTGTGTATCTCTTTTTTCTTTTTCTTTGCTACATTCTTTCTCTTCCTAACATTTATTTTCCTCTCTTTGTTTCAAGAACATAAATAAAAAAACTTACAAAAGAGGACAAATAGGACTATACTGTAGTACATTCTGACTGTACCAGGAAAGCATAGAGCTATTTCAAGGCCAGCCAAAGCTAGGCAGAAGTGTTCCTGGGCCCACCAGAGGCCTGGGCAACTCCCGACAAAAGCCAGAAGCACGACTGCTAGACTAGGGGCCTGACCCTTGAAGGAAGGTGGGGCTGAGTTACGATTGTATTGCACGTCAGAGGTGGGTGCCTCCACCCTCTACCAAAAGCGTTTGGAGTGGCCAAAACTTCCTAAGTGGGTACCTCCCCCATCACTCTTTTCTGCCAATCTGTCACCAAACAACATTCAAAAGTGCTGGTTCTAACTTATAAAGCCCGAAATGGCTTGGGTCCAAGCTATCTCAAGGACTGTGTCTCCCATTATTAGCCTGCCTGATTGTTAAGATCATCAGGAGAGGCCTTTCTCTCCATCCCACCACCTTTACAGGTGTGTTTGATGGAGACACAGGACAGAGCCTTCTCTGTCACTTCTCCCAGACTTTGGAACTCCTTCCCACAAGAAGCCAGGCTGGCCCCATTTTTGCTGTCCTGCAAGCAGGCAAAAACTTTCCCCTTCAGGCAAGTTTTCCCTCAGTGACTGGCTGTCTGAGTGTTGTTGTTTTTTAATGAATTGTTGTACCTTATTGCTTTGAATGTGCTTCTGGTGTTGCTTTTGTTTACTGTTTCCTTGAATGGTATTTGTTTCATCTTTTTTAGTATTTGTATCCTTAATGTTTTTCAGCTTTAACATTACGTAAGCCTTGGGTACTTTTTTAAGGCAAAAAAGATGGGGAAAACATATTTTTAATAACAATACCAGATACCCAAACATGACATTTTCCTGCCTGGACTCATTCTTACACATAAGACAGAGGCTTGAACATGATGCTGTCATGTGGATTCTCCGCTAACATTCTCTCACTCAGTCTCTGCTGTTAGGTTTGACGAAAGCCTTCTCTTGAAGCATTCACACAATATAAGTGTAACATGGCAGGTAGTCTTACTTGGGCAAGTTACAGTTGGGCTGAAGTCTTGCCTCGGTTCCCCCACTGCAAAGTCATCAGTATTCTCCCCTCCTCCAACTAGAACAGTGTTGTGTCTCCCAACTTCACCCCTTGAACTTGTGTAACAGCCCCGTGGGGCAAGACACGTGCAGCGCTGTTGACTGGTCCCAAGCCCACCCATAATAAAAGCTGATTCGGGATTATATTTGAAGTCACTGTGCTCCTGAGTTAGATGAAGATAGAGGCTTTTGGTGTATTTCAGATGAGAACTGGGTTTAGTTGGTAGTGGGATTTAAAAAGAAAAAAAGAACACTGCTTCCTTTCTTAGAACTACGTCTGGCCACCTGCTTTCTCACTGCATTGTTCCCTGTACGGTACTGTCTTCCCACATGGTTCACATTGGGAGGCTCTTGGCGATCAAAACGCTTACTGGGGAGAGAGACTGCAAGAAGCAGAACTGGGAGGCCAGTTCCTGCATCTCCCTCACACTCCCCTCTCCTATTGGGCAAGGGCCCTCACTCAGTCCAGATGAAAGAGTCCGGGCGGCAGAGATACCGGGAAAGGTGTTTGGAAAGATAACTGCCTTGTGCATCCTTTCGTAAGTCCTGATTGCCTGGACAGTCGCGTTAGCTCTCCATAGGTTTCTTCCCTGTTGCTGAGCAAGCTGAAAGTCTCTCTTGCTGCAACTTCAGGGCAAGAAATTTATGGTTCTGATTAAACCATCTTGAGGACTACTGTCTTATTTCATTAGATAAAGCTTTATCCCCTGGATACACTATCAGGCTTAGGCCTGGATTCAGATCCCATATCAGTCAAACACAGAATAGTTTTCACTTAACAGGTATGTGATGTGCTTCATTCATTCATTCATTCATTCATTCTTTTTCTTTCTTTTTCTTTTTTTCAATTTATATACTGCCTCATTAGTGTAAACATTACTCTGGGTGGTTTACAAGATTAAAACTCAAAACTACACAATGATATATTTATATTTCATACTGCAATTCTATGAAGTAATTAAATCATGAAGGTAAATAATCCTATAAAATCTAAAATTAGTGAAACAGAAAAAAAATTGACAGCATCCATGAAATTTGGTTCAGCAGCTCAAAATCTATATGTGGGACGGGAAGCAACAGTTAGAACTGGATAAGGAACTGGATTGGTTCAAAATTGGGAAAGGAGTACGACAAGGCTGTATATTGTTTCCCTGCTTATTTAACTTCTATGTAGAATACATCATGCGAAAGGCAGGACTGGATGAATCCCAAACTGGAATTAAGATTGCCGGAGGAAATATCAACCTCAGATATGCAGATGATACCACTCTGGTGGCAGAAAGTGAGGAGGAATTAAAGAACCTCTTAATGAGGATGAAAGAGGAGAGTGGAAAAAACGGTCTGAAGCTCAACATCCAAAAAAATAAGCTTATGGCCACTGGTCCCATTGTTTTGTTTTGTTTAGTCGTTTAGTCGTGCCCGACTCTTCGTGACCCCATGGACCAGAGCACACCAGGCCCTCCTATCTTCCACTGCCTTTCGGAGTTGGGTCAGATTCATGTTGGTTGCTTCGGTGACACTGTCCAACCATCTCATCCTCTGTCGTCCCCTTCTCCTCTTGCCTTCACACT